AGCTAAGATAAAGTAACATCTGGCAAAAGTCTTTTTAATAACTTCTTGAGAGAATTACGTCTGCAGCTCCAAATGTGTTACTTGACTTGGTTGTCTGTCTATGAAAATCGATTAATTTTTGTGAGCTTGCACATTCTTTCTAATTCTAGTAGTTGATGTACTTGGTGATAATGACCATTATTCGGAGTACATGATGTATTACTCTTAATACACGTGGTACTGTTGCCCAACCTAATACCGGCAAAACTACGCCTAAAAAGTTAAGTTTATTGTTTATGGTTCAGATGAGAGCCAACTATACGGAAAATCTTTTCTTTTGAACAAAACTTTGGTGTTTTACTTCCTTACCGAATTTTGATATAAACTGGATTTATATTACGGAATATGGTTTTAATATGTATGGATTGGCGCGCTTGCTTGCTTTGTTATAGAGGGGAAAGCTGGTATAGCCACTCCCAAGAATGCTTGAACAGATCCTTTCTATTAGTCTTTCCTGTCCAAAGTGTCGGGTTTTCCAAAAATGGATGTACATCACAGTATTTCGTCATGGTTTCTAAAGTTCATACAAAAGTTATTTGTATGAGCTCGTTAATTCCCTCCGTACATACGCGTGTATGTATGTATGTACATTGTACAGCGAAACCATTGCTTGCATTTTCTCCTCATCCCCATGCTTGGCAAAACTGTCAGCAGTGAACCTCATGCCGAGCGTTAGATATGTAAGCAAGCATGACCCACATCAGCTATAACTTTTGCTTTGCTCTAACACGCCTATATTATGAAAATGAAACAAAAAATGCTATATAACTGTAACACTTCACAACTAAATCAATTATTAGTTTATCTTATGCATCTTCCAGTGCTGCTATTCGCGCAAATGCGTTAACCAAAAGCTTGCTACGAGGTGCTTCTACTTGTGCTGAAAAATGTGTCTCGCGACGCTCTCAACTTTCATGATAGTTTTCAATTAGATTCATGGACAGCATAAATATATCGAATAGCACTGATTCTATACGCATTCAGATAAATACAGACAAGCATCCAGATGCGATTTTTATACTCGACCATATTTCCTCTGCCACGCCTTATTCAAAAGACTCTACAAGGCATGATAGGGGACCTAAAATGCAGCAAATTTCATTCTATACGTGAATGGGCAAAAATCAATATTTTTCGAGATTTTTCAATTCTCGTTATTTTTTCTGAGAACACTCGAATGGGTGTTTGAGTACCTATAAATAATGAAAATGCTATGTAAGAAATGTAGAGAATTCAACTGATTTTCTTAGTTTATACTTGAGTAAAGCTCGTACAATCATCAGAAGTGCAAAAATGCTACAAAATAATACTCTAAAAAATAAATTGTTTGTTTTTTGTTCGAAACTGCGTCTAACTCTAAGCATTACTAGTGGATTGAACGTATAAATAGCTAGCAAAGCTTGACTGGTAGCTTTCCAAAAAGATATATTTTTTTTTTTGGCTTTAGGACCAGGCCATGCAGCCAGAAACTAGGTTGATATATTTACATTTCTAATTATGGACAAACACACGACGTCACAACATCCATGGCGAAGGCGAGATTCGAACTCGCGACCCGGCCGGCCGGCTGATCAGTAGCACGACACTCTGACCCACGCGGCCAACCGAGGTCCCCAAAAAGATTTAAAACATCAGAATGAATGCGTTTAATTATAAAAAATAGCCAAACCGGTTTGAATCAGGTAATAATCCACCAAACAAATGATATTTTCCATCAGTATCTCAAATGAATGTATTGATTTGCAGGCCATGTCTCGCACTGTGATCAAAACTAAATTGTGAATTTCAGACCAACCAAAATTATTTCAGTATACACAATCAAAATTATTTTTGGAATTACAAAATTATTCGAATGGTCAGGTCAACCCAAAACCAATAATGCTTAAGCATTTTCTTTTACAAATAATCTACTTTTTTCCTTTGCTCTATTCCTCCGTTCCTTTCTTTTTTCCCTTTTCCCCTTGAACCCGCTTGGTATCTGGGTAGCCAGAACTGACAAATGTTTAAGCAAGAGCAAAGGTTTACCGGACTGTTCTGACGAACAGTGACTCATAGTTAGTTTATTAATTTTTCACAAATCTCATTTATTACAAGCTGTTTTTGTCACATTTCAGATAAAAGGCCCCTCAGTTGTTTTGACGTATTTCTTACACACTGAAGAAATTGAGTTGGTATAATGGATTTCCTGAAGCCTGATCGGTCTGTGCTATCTTTTTGACATGTGGCGCTTTAATAGCCGCAAAGACGTAGAAAATTCCGTGAATGGGAAAGCAATATTAATATTTTCGATGTGCCTCAATAGTAACTCCACAAAACTATATCATATAAGACAATAGCGCCGTATTCGAGTCATTGATCATTGTCAGAATCTTCTGCACCTATTGAGCTGTTAAGGAGCTACTTATCGAAGAAACGTGACACTGGCGGTTATAAGACTTCAGAGAATTCGTTATACTGAGGCAATTTAGCGCATAGTGTAACAAGGCATAACTACTGAGGGCCACATTTATCACAAAGGTAACATACACAGGACGTAGAAAGTGAATGCAGACAGCACTTGCAACTAGTATGCTCGTATGGCACAATATTCGTGCAAAATAAATAAATTCATTGGAAATGTTTATTGAAATTATCAATTAGCCTAATCACCTAAATGACCTAAATCGATTTGAATGTCTATTTGTTAAGAATAAAGCACTTTTATACTGATTTTTCGGTCAACTTGTATGAAAATGTACAAGCAGCTTTTAGAGCTAGATACAGTTTTGTCCTAAGGAAAACTGGAGGCACGTATTATGATTACATTAGCTTAATTCAAGTATAAACTACAATTTCCTAACATTTCATATACAGGGTGTTAAAAAAGTATGTAGACAAACTTTAACCTTCGAATCCTTGGTCAATTTGAAGACTAAATGTTCATATAAACATGGGTCCGTAACGGCTTTCTTTTCGAGCTAGAGCACTATCACTAAAGAATAACGAGTCATGTTCCAAATATTTCTATGAATAATGAAACAGTTGGTATAACCTATGATGAATTATTTTACATGTTGCTGAGGCTCAATATGAACGTGGATGAATATAGTATTGTCCTGTATTTTTGGATAAAAAGAAAATAAATGTTATGCTATTTTTCAAAAAATACTGCATAACATTATCCGTATCTACGTACATGGAGGGTCTGAAAACAACTGTAAATCATGTGATATTCACCACAGGGCATACTTAATAAAATACGTCCCATTCTTTTATATTTTTTTAGAACATCATCATTTCTTTTAGTGCTAATAAGCTCTAACTTGAAAACAAAGTCGTTGCGGACCCATGTTCATATGTAAATTTTGTCTTCAAATTGACCAAGGATTCGATGGTTGTCTACATAATTTATTAGTAGACACAATGGCCCGCACGGGAATTATGTATCTTGAAATGTGACATTAGGTCGTAACGTAGGTTTTTCTACAAGATGTTAACTTATCACTTACTAGCTGATAGACACTTTTTGTGAACTCGTGTTGCAGTTCTACGTGTTGCCTAAACGTCATGATGCTTCAGTTATCAATGTCTGGCTTTGTTGTGATTTAACATCTGCTTCAGAGATGGCATTATTGAATATCTGAGCTGTGAGTTGTACATATACTGTAGCTGGAAGGAAACGGCAATGCATATGTGCATAGTGAGGATTTGTGTGCTAATAATATGTGTTGCTGATAATTCCATTAGTTTCTTGTCTCAAATACATTTACTTGAGATTCAAAGCTAGAAATTAGTTGCGCATCCACTTTTTCTTATTCATTCCGGAAATTACATATGCAAATTTGCTGGATTTCAAAAATGCAGACCAGTACACATAATCATCCAGATGCGACCTTGCTACTCAACCAACTTCTTTTCTTTACATCTTCTCAGAGATAAACACTACAGACTACTCGGCTTCACAAAACATATACACTTGCTTTCTGCAACCAACAATGCGTGTAGCTGCGTCATTCCTCCATACATGGACGCTCACAGCGATCATAGCGAGTAAACGTGGAATGAACTATTTGCACCCTAAAAACTACCTGGTCTGCAAGATGACATTTTGTTGTTTTTTTTTTGACGTTTTATAGTTTTTTTTTGGGTGATTGTTAAAAATAAACATAAAATGATCTATTTATTGGTTTTCACTTAAAACGTGAGAAAGCTATAACATTTTATATTCTTTTTCATTTTCAGTCATTTAAATTTTATAGAAATTATTTTGCGATAAGTAGAAAATGCAAATCAGTACCTAGATGTGAGGCACTGCGAAAATGCTTTGTGTGATACGTCATTCCTAATTATTCTGTGATGTGGCTGAATTAGCCACAACGCGGGCGAGGTGGCGATTTCCCGTATTGCTTCTGAAAGTTTCTGAAAACGCAAAAAACCAGGGACGATCCTAATTTATAGCTTTGAACTTCAGAAAGGACAACACAAATAACCCGTCTGGTACAGCTGATAAGGATACTTCATGGGCGGCACATTCAGAAATAATTTTCTCACATAGCAAATCACACTGATTTTATATATACATGCAGACCAATCACACAATTAGTTCTCCTGTATAATACTTACTATTGCTGAAATGTGATATATTCAACATTTTTTTATAAATATCGTTTTTCAACGTTTAGGTATGAATTGAATGTTATGTTAAGGATTTTTGTAATTTTTGCTCAAATCACTAATTATATTTATGTATTACTTACAAACCTCCCTAAGCACAAGGCTATGCTTTCTGTGGGTTTCTCATTTGGTATATTGGGTTTATGTGTGTCTTGGCGAGGTTTGCCGATCATGTGGATGGGCCTCTATGTAATCAGGCTCCGCCCTTCTAACTTTTGATAGATGTCAGTTGCTATATTACAACTTTGTTCAACAAACTGTCACTGGAAACCAAGTTTATTTTTCATATTGTTCCTTTTTGGTTACAGTTCAAAATTTATAAATGGATAGCCGAAAACAAAATGGACACCCCGGCGTACGCAGAAGACTTAATTTCGATGATGGAGCTCCCGAATGGGAGAATAGACTTCAAACAAGAATTTCTCCCGCGAAATCCGTAGAGTTGACTCTTGAAATGAATGAGGAAAGACTAAAGGTAAGTTTTCTGTTTCTTCAGTCTGCTCCAGCATAAAGGAGTCTATACCTCCGTGTAAGGGGGTTGTAGGGCGTTTTTTACTACCTTGTTAGTTCGTTACTTCATGCAGTTAAATATTGTGCTCAATAACTCTAGATAAAGCTTTGTACAATATCTTGTTGTGATTGGGGGCAAGGTTTCTCGTTAAGGTAAGTAAGAAAATGGAACTTGGAAAGTTTCGCAATTAAGAGTATTCACAAAAAAACGAATTTTTCCAAAATCGTTTTTAATTTTTTCGAGGGCGCTTAACACATTTTTGTGTCTGTCATATCTAAACCGATGCATACGTCGTAAACTTACATAATATAAATCAACGATTGAGGTGTCAGATAGGGAGGTTTCGTCGTGTTAAAATAATGCTTGTATATTATAATCGTTTTACGGACAAATTATGTGAATGTCCTTTGATCAAGGTTCTCGAAAACTGAAGCAATACGTAATTGATGATGTAATCGAGTAGATATGTGATGAGATATCCTTTACCAGGCTAACTATGGGCATATTAGTTTTCTTGAAAGAACTAAGGCTTGACAATGTCAGAATACAAGGCAGTGGCGGCTCGTGAGGTAGTGCCACGGTGCCATGGCACTACCTTGTCTTCTTCAAAAAGAATATTTTTTTCAATCTTCAATGTTTTACTTTATTTTTTGCTTTTTCATTTTTTTTTTGGTATAAATTATATGAAGTGACAACACTGACAACGTGACAACACCGCAAGCACCCGAACCACGCGACGAGATATAAAGCATGCCTTGACCTTGACGTCATCAACTTGTGCCAATGTCGGGCCGGCCCAAATAAAAAGAGAGAAATTTTACCAGCATCGCATACGAGCGACAGAGATAACGCTACAATACACATTTTTATATGAGGTGAATAGCGAAAGACAAGTATAATTTGTGCCAGGCACATCATCAGTCGTAATTCGTTATCAAATGATATCGGCGGTGTTTTTGTTCGGTCGGTCGTTTCGTTATGATTACGTCTAGTGCTGATTTCGGTCTTTTTTTACCTGAAAAGTGAGAAATAACGTTTTTGTTTTAGTACGTCTAGTGTTAATGAACTGCTCTGTTTTGTGATCATATTTTTTACTGTTTTATTAAAACTAGTGAAAATGAATAAAATCGGGATATTAAAAAACTCATTTAGTGGTTTTTCGCTGGATCAAAAACTGCAAATTAAAGAATTAGGACGGCCAATACCCGATTTAAAAATTGAGAAACAAAGTGGTAGCGGACAAAAATCGCGCTGTCGCAAATTTAATAAAAATGTGTACGATAAAAACAGCTGGATATGTGGTTGTGAAGAAACGAATAAACTATTTTGTTTTGTATGTGTTCTATTTGGAGGTGACGAGACTTGGTCAAAAAAAGGTACAGATGATCTTATACATATATGGGATAAAATGAAGACCCACGAAAAATCTAAAGTCCATATGAATAATGTTTTTAGCTTTTCTATTCTTGGTAAATTAAATATAAGGACTCAACTCAATTCGGCTTATCGCAATGATCTAATTAAACATAATAATCAAGTGGATAAGAATCGATATGTATTGAATAAAATTATTAATTGTATAAGGTTTTCTGGAGCATTTGAGTTAGCCTTAAGGGGTCACGATGAAAAGGAAAATTCGGAAAACAGAGGCATATTTAAGGAGCTGGTGAATTTTAGCGCCGAATTAGACAACGAATTGAAAGTCCATATTCAAAGTGCCAAACTTTTCAAGGGTACCTCAAAAACAACTCAAAACGAGCTTCTTGAGTGCATGCTAGATGTTTATCATGAAGAAGTTAAGAAGGAGATTGCAAATTCTCCTTTTGTTGCAGTAATTGCCGATGAAACGACTGACGTAGCCTGTGAATTTCAGTTAGTTATTATTTTCAGATATTTGTGTAAAGGACAACCAGTTGAGAGATTTTGGAGATTTTACGTCCCCGACGGACACGATGCCAAATCAATCGCTGCATGCGTTTTAAATGTTGTAAATCCATTAATAGATCAAAATCCAAACAAATTAATAGCTCAAAGCTATGATGGTGCGTCTGTTATGAGTGGTGAATTGAATGGCGTTCAAAAGATTATTAAGGAAACTTATCCACTTGCAAATTATGTTCATTGCTATGCACACCAGTTAAATCTAATTATGACAAGCGCATGCTCTGTCAATAAGCAGGCTAGAATATTTTTCCATAATTTATCTGGATTGTGCTCTTTTTTTTCGACGTCTCCTCAAAGAACAAAAATTTTGGATGAAATAGTTAATCGCAGATTGCCAAGATCTTCCCAAACACGTTGGAATTTTCAGTCACGAGGTGTTCATACAGTTTATGAAAATAGGAAAGACCTGATTGAAGTTATGGACAATATAGAAAGTACTTCACGCGATTCTTCGTCGATTAATCAAGCCGGTGGGTACAAATTAAAGCTGCAAGATACAAATTTTGTATTTTGGCTAAGTATATTCCATAAAATAATGCCACATGTTGAAATTGTCTTTAACCAATTACAAAAAGTATGCACCGATTCTGTTAAGGTCAAAAATGATTTAGAGAATTTTGAAGCAGCAATTCAAACTATACGAGAACAAATGGATAGCATTATTGACGAGATTGAACGAGTGCAGAGAGAAACTGATGAACCGGCAAGAAAAAAAAGGCAAGTTGAAGAAGGCAGCAAAAAACGGGAAGCGTTAGAAATATGCGATGCAGTATTATCGCAAATAAGAACAAGATTTAACTTTTCTGGGCATTTAGTTGCTTCTAATTTATTTGTGTCTGAAAAGTTTTCTGTTTATAAACATCAGTTTCCTGAAGCACATTTAAATGACACATGCACACAATTTTCATTTTTAGACAAAAACAGGCTTAAAACTGAGTTACAAGTATTATATCAGAGAGAAGAATTGAGTACTACTTCTGGAGCTGTTCCACTATCGATTTTATTGAACGAGGAAGGATTAAATTGTACGTTTCAAGAAACTCTTAAGCTCTTAAGTATTTTAATCACTATACCGATGTCAACATCTGAAGCAGAACGCTCTTTTTCAATGCTGAAACGGATTAAAACTTTCCTCAGAAACACAATGAAGGAAGAAAGGCTTAGTGCTTTAGGAATGCTGTCTGCAGAAAAACATTTTGTTAGTGGCATTGAAAATTTTAATAATAAGGTAATCGAAAACTTTGCTACCAAAAAAGAAAGAAGAATGGACTTCATGTATAGAAAACTTTGAAGTTATAGGTACTTCTCCACACTTGTTTTATAATTTGGTGCGCGTGTGTAAATAGTTTTATTTTTGATTTTTTTTTGGACATATAGATTTATTGAACCTCAAGAACTTTGACCACTAACTATCAGGGGTAAGTTATAAGTTATTCTTTACAATTTTGAATCGATTCAAAATTATGGCTTCCATTCTGGCACTACCTCACTGAATTGGCACGAGCCGCCACTGATACAAGGTGTTCATTCTTCCCACCATAACTGCAGGTATTGGAGCAATGAAAATCCTAATGCTTTTGTAGAAAGGCACACCCAGTGTCCCCAAAACATTAATGTGTGGGCAGGCATTAAGGAAACAAAGTGATTGGGCTATTGTTTATTACTGGAAATTTGAATGGAGACATTTATATGGATATGTTTTAAAGTACCATCAATCCGCTTATCACTGGAACCATTAAAAACCAGATCGAAGATGATGGAAACCGTATACTTGATGAGGATAGAATATATTTCCATATTTCCAGCAAGACGGCGCTCCTCAATATGTTTTTCCGGTTCGGCAATGGCTAGACGACGAGTTTCAAGATAAATGGAGAGGGCCTATAGACTGGCATGCTAGATCTCCTGATTTGACGTCATTAGACTTTTTTCTATGGGGCCATTTTAAATCTGTTGTGTTTACTACCCAACCTAAAAGTTTGAACTTCGTCAACACATCATCGAAAGCTGACATGATACGCCACAACATGTTTTTGAAAATGTCCGTCAGGAATTTGACATCGCCTATATCATTGTTTGGCCAATAACGGGCAACATTTTGAACACCTATTGAAATATAAAAAGTGATATTTTTATGTTTTTGTTTTCTATCTGAACAAATTAAAATAAATAAAGATTTTTCTAATTCTCTTGAAAACGAATGGACCGATTTTATAAAATCAAGCGTCAAAATGAAGGACATCGAAAGACCTTTTAAACAAGCTATTTCTCGTTACCCCTTGTCATTTAAGATTTTTAAGGGAATGACCCTGGCGTGCAGAGGGTGAAACTGGGTGGAGTAGTCTTCGGTTAAAGTTAAATCTTTTCACGTGTCTCGGCGTTTTTCCTTCTAATCAGTGATTTTCGACAAATCCGTGGTGGGAACTTTTCAAATAAACACCCTGTATGATAAGTTGTAAATTTTTGAAATCAGAGGCAAAAACTGCATTTAGCCCTGTAAATTTTAGCGTCCATTAGAAAAAGTAAAGTTACCGATTGAGAACAAGAGTCGAAACGTTATATTGAAATTCTGATTATGCCGTTTTGGAGAGGAGAAAAAGTTGCATTGTTATAATGCAATTTATTTTATAATCCCACCACAAATAAAGTCGGGCAAAAATTTTGTTGTCCTTTTGCCACTATTTAACTGACTTCGTATCTCTTACGGTTTGCCTGATTCAATTGCTGTTTAGGATATCTTTGAGATATCAAAATAAGGCTTTTAGCTATGTTTTTTTTTATTTTGGATGACTATTAACAAATTCATGATTTCATAGGCTGAAAGGAAGAGAGCAGCTGAGAAATGGAATTTCGATTTCGAAAACGAAGTACCTCTAGATGGAGACTGGGAGTGGGAGAAGGTGGAAACACCTTCTACAGAGGCAAGAAACGGTGTTAGGAACGAGACTGATAGTAATAGGAAAGCAAGGAATGCATAGAGCTGTATATTTATATTTTATATATTTATACTGAGATTTATACAAAACTAAGCATACACATAGGTGTACTTTATTTACTTTTTTATAGAGCATCTATATATATACACCTATATATTATATACATTTTACCTTGTTTAAATGATTTTTATTAACGATTGTGCAATGTGATTGATCGAAAATGGTCATGATTGTTGATATATCTCAAGAGTGTCATATGACAATTTTCTAAACAAAATGAATTACGAATAATTATAATGTGAAGAGGTACACCATCCAAAGCATGGAAGGCATATCGCAACCCTAACTGCGCATAAACACAAGCGACAAGTTGTCGCGCCGCAAAATAAACGCCCGTTAAACCTGCAACAACTTGCTGTTCCAGTGTATCTGTTGTAGTCACCGTTCTTGGCGGTTACGTCATCAACGCCATATGAAATAAGTAAACAGATCCAGTCTCCGTACGATAGGCGGAACACTACACAGATTAATCTTCAGCGCATCTGCTTCTCTCTACAGTACGCATGAAGTGGGTAACAGGAAACTGCTGTTTTCATTCTCTTCCTGGAAATACTCTAATAACTCTAGCACGAGCTGTCGGCCTTCCTCATTGATCGTTTTTCCGGGCATTGTACAATTTTATATTTAAGATTGATAACAGGACAACTCGAATTGCACGTCGATGTCAAGTAAGTTGTCACTCTTACAAATATTATTGAAGCGCACTCAAACTTAACGAGTCGGAGACACACAACTAAAAAACGGATGTCTTTGAGCTTTCCGCACAAACGTTCACACACATGTATGTATATGTATGAGAGAGATTGAGATGTACAAAGTGATACTGGTTGTCTTACTTTGACCGGCCAAGAACGGTGATTTCAACTATATCAAAATTGATATATTTGACATAAAGCGCTTCAGCGCTGTAGTTCTCTGAATGTGCCTCTTGTAACAAGTACAATACAAGCAGGCATATACATAAATTTAACTAAATTTCACAAAAAATCTAAAATGGACACATATAATATGGCACGGAATTTTCAGTACCTATGGCAACACTGTGCTGTTCACACATGCCACGTACAACACTTTAAATCACACGGGCCTCACTAAAATTGCAGCGCTCGATCGAACGCGCGTCGATAGTGTCCTATTTCATATACCGTGCAAACCATTTAGGGTTGAAGTCGGTAGAATTTCAATGTGTACCAGAGAGAAGCAAGAGAAGCTTGCAACACATATGTTGGAAAAAGTTAGAAAGAGCGGGTACACAAGTAATCACCAACTTTACTGCCAACGATAGCGAAGAAGATCATGGAGAACTCTTTCTAACATACGAGTTGCATGTTTCTATCGCTTCTCTCTCTCGTACCTATTGAAACCCGGCCAACCCCAACCGTAAATGATTCGCACGGTACACCAATTTGATGCGAGACGCTCGTTTTTCGGCGGTGCGATAACTTGTTGCCTGTGTGTACGGGCAGTAAAGTAATTTGAAAAAATACTCATATTGTTCGAGAAGATAGAAAAAAGAATAAAACCTTCACTCCTTCAATCGGAGTGTACAACTTCTACGTTTGTAAAGATTATATCATTAATAAATCGGTTTGCCAGTCGTAGATGTTTTTTTGTGAAGGTGTTAAATCTACAAAATAGTATAACGGTGATCCATTACGAATGAGATCTTATTGATTTTTTTTTATTCTTGTATTCGAATATAATAACAATTTTATATTGTCATCCTCCTGTCCAGACCTGGTATGTCCGCAGCGAGACGCGGAAGGAACATGAACTATATGAGAAACTCTATCATCATTACATTCAAATATTATGAGATTAAAAAGAATCAAATAATTACTGTATGAAACTGAGATATGGCACGCCGCCCTATAATGAAAAAGTATTTGTTACACCTCATAAGAAGGCAGACGACCAGAAAATTAAAAAAATGTATACCTACATGTACTTCGAAGCTTTGATATGAATTCTTCAAGGATGAGAACCTATCTTTTTAAAGGTTAATAATGTATAGAAGAGAATTGATGTCCACAATTATTAAGCTTTGCACCTTTTTTTTGAAAACCATGTGCAATTTTTATATGTTTCTATTTATCTGTAGTTTATGTAAAAAAACAAGGGGTTCTTAACCCCAATAGAATCCATACGGCTAAAATACCAAAAATTCTGTAAATAGAATTAGCGTAAATAATTTATTTATTGTACTAAAGTGGCTTTTGTAGTTTAGCATCACCTTTTGTACCTACTTAATAAAGAAAAATTGAGAAAGACTTCGTTTTCAGTATTGATTCATAAAACCTGTCGCATGCTGGCTCAAGAATATAAAAATCCAAATCTATATGGAATATGAAAGAACTGGAGAAAAATTTGGTGTTGATTGGATTTGGACCCACAGTTTCAGTCACGAAAACTAGAGATAGGTTAAACTGCATAAGGGATATACGTATTTGTATGAGACCAATTCTGTAACCAACGATGGTGTGGCTCTCGGAAATCTAGTGAGCGTATCTGCACATTGAAAAATGAAAACATGACTTGCCACAATCTTCATGTGTATTTCCCTCAAGTTTCGAGGTGCTTTGTAGGTCTATTACTTCATCGCTAGTTTGACAGTTTTTCGACAATCCACACGAACTTACTATCTTCAGCGAAAACATATAAATGTACGTAGGTTCCATATCGTTCTAATGCTCCAGACAATTGTCGAAAATGGTCAATGTTTAAACGATCGATAAGTGTTAATATATTATAGTCATCGGAGTTGTGAAAGCGCATACATCTCAACGTTGGGCTCTTACCTGGACAGCTGTGAGGTAATTCTGATATATTTCAGTCCACTTTTCCAAATTTTTGGTGGATATTGAAAAAGTCCCACTGAAACCTTCACTTTGGGTCTTATTTTCTTTAATTTTGAATCTAAAAGCTCTTAGCAAAAGTCTTTACTTTCACGTTTTTAATAGCAATTTTACGTTTTCATTTTATTGGCATGATGTTCTTTGTAGAGAGGAAGCTCAGCAAGCTCCTAAAACATGGATACAAAATTAACCAAACTAATTCCAAATCTTTTTATTGGGTAAATATTTTAACAATAATATAATGACAGTTATTTCCAAATTATGCTCAACTAAATATGTGCTTTTGCCCAAGAATCAATTCGGATGTCAAGATATCCCACTATTTCCAATATCAGGTGTTCTGCCATTGCATTTCGTATTTTTCACCTTTCAAAGTTATGCATTATGTAGAAATGTTCATGCGTTATACCGTTAACAAATATTTTTCTTTGCTATTCAATTTATCCTTGTTTATCAATAATAACAGCGATTCACATCGCAAGACAGATGCTATTTCTGCGCTACTAAGCGTGAGTATAGCCAAAACGTTTGGATATTTGAATACCTTTCCAGAGAAAGAATAGGAGGCAAATGAGTCAATGTGAACATATGGGATTTGGATACTTTTTACCTATTCGAATTCGTTGGTATGGCTCCAACATTTGAGTCCCAGATATTGTTAACACCTTGTACATATGCAGTACGTTATCAAAAACGTCATTTTCGAAAAGTATAACCTATTTACTTCTGACATGCCAAACAATGAACTCCTACAATAGCCATTTCAGAAAAAGGATATGCCAGTTATTCGACAGTACTCGTTGATGATACTAATACTCATATCGGCACTAGAAATAAGCAATGGTACTCCAGTAGATTCGCGATTACACAAACTGTCCAAACGTCGTCTCTTGGAGAGAGAATTGGAATACCTCAAGGAACAACCACTCAGCGAAGATTTGCAGAGTTTTATAAGGAGAGTTAAACGTAGTAAGAAAGAGTCCCATTACAAGGTCAAAAGAGATAGTGATGACAGCATCATACTCTCAGATAGTAAGTAATCAGGAATACTCATTGAACCTCCAAGGAACTGTATATTAGTTAATGCTAATGTGCCCCCACATAGCAGACCGATCTAAACAATTGTAGAACTTTGCTGTCTTTGATCAGCGGAACGTTGGGTAATAGCATGAATTAATCTGCAGCACAATTTTCTTGCTAGATGATTTCATAGCCAATTCAAGATGACAACTGTTCTTCTTTAGAAGTACACTGAGAAAAAAGTTCAATTAAACCAATTAAAATTTTATATGGGCCAATAAAAAAATAATTATCCTTGTGTCAGCTAACATGTTTAATTAGTCTAATTAAACTCAAACTTTGTTAATTCGTTTACTTAGATCGAGTAAACCAATTTATTTTAAATCAATGGACATTTAAAATGAGTTTACCTTCTCCAAATATAACAATTTGATTATTTATATTGATTAAATTTGTTTAATTATTTTAGGTAAAAGTATTTGCCTTGTTTTAATGAATTATTTCATTTAGATTTAAGAGGAACAAAATGCGTTGTACTGAATAGTGTATATTACGACTGCTCTGAGAAATCTTAGATATCAAGAAATTTGGAAAACTTGATATTGATAATGATGTTTTTGTGTCAAAATAATAGTCGTAACGGAAATGGAGGTCAAAATGAGAAAAGAGAATAACTGGTAGAAAAAAGGTTATAAGCTCTATTATCTTTAGGAAAAGTGTACTCCTGAGCACTGATGGAAGTATTACTCCCCGTATCATTGACAGCCTCTAAAGATGAAGTTTAATAAAATGAAGAATACCATGAAGACATCATTTTGTCAAAAATGAATGCGTTAACAAGCTTGTTTGATATAACATCTGTCTAAAATCATTTTTTAGGGAATATTACATTTGACTAAGCTCAAGCATTGACCCCCATCGTTGAGTGATATCTCCTACTTGGATCAATCTTCATGGTCTCCCTATTGGATTCTGGTACACTGACCGTTCGGGTAATAAGGAGGACTTTAGCGTCAGGGTCTTTGGGCCTTTCGGCAGATACACTAAAGTTCTAAAGGCGGGAATTAATGGGAATCTGTCTTGTATATTCCGCATTCTGGAAAGGGATGTACCTTGAAGAATAATAATCTGCTCCGACAGCCAGGCTGCAAGCCTTCTTTGTCAGCTGACTTATTAGTCAGTATTAGTCAACTATTGTTAAAGATAGGCTTGTGCTAAAATCGCTGTTAGTCACTGTTTTTGTCGGACCAAAGTAAAAGTACATGAATTACTTGCATACATCCATCTCTGTCATACATACAACAACGGCCCTTTTGTGTATAAGCAAAGGCGAGTAGTAGCTGCGTTGCAGATCGTCTAGCGCGATGTGCAATTTCTCTTAGAGAAGTTGAGCTATGCACATAGTACAGGGTGCGGCAGAGAGGACGGAGGTTTTTGGGATGGGTAGTACTCTCCGCCTCCGTCTACGAGAGAGGTGGGGAGGGTGCCGTTTGGCTCGTGAGATCCTAGCATTATATTACCAGTTGTCGTTATGGAGCCTTGGACGGTGGAGCACCGCGTTTTCGCCTATGATTGTTTCGTCCGAAATAATGAGTCAGTCATCGTCGTACAGTGTGAGTTTCGTCACCACTTCAACATTCATCGGAATAGAGCTGTTCCCTCTCGAAACACCATCCTTCGTTGGGTTCAATCACTTCGCAGGCGTGGTGAACTGATCAACAGAAGACCAAGAGGAGCGCCGCGAACAGTTCGAACTCCTGAAAATGTTGAACGCGTTCGACAGGTCTTTTTTCGCAGTCCGATTCTATCTGCCCGGAAACATGCTAGAGTATACGCGAACAAGCCCCGAACTCTGGACGAATTGAAGGGCGAAATTCGCGTGGAAGTCGCCCAAGTTGAGAGAGCGATGTTGGAGAGAGTCTACGCGAACTTCCAAGAACGCCTCCAGCACTGCATCAACGAATTCGGCCACCACATGCCTGATGTGATTTTCCACACTTGACTGTCTCAAATGCTATTTCCTTGTGAACCTGATTCCATCACTAAATTTGTTATCGAGTAAAAATTAACTATTTTATGATTTTTTAAAAACCGTCCATCCTCTCTGCCGCACCCTGTATTATCTCTTTACTTACGAGTATTTAGTATGGCATTGTGATGTAACCGCCAAAAACAGCGAGATGAACTATGTGTTCTAATATTGTGTGATGTGAATAAGATTGCTTCAGTTCCGACAATCTCTTATACAGGGTGTTCAAAAAATAGACGGAGCTATTTTAGAGAGTGATTTCAAGATACAGGGTGATGAATTAAAAAAGTATAAACTGTTTCTAGAAGAAATGATCCGCAAATTTCAAACCTCCATGCCGAAATGATTTTTCGTGCAAAAATTAATAAACCAATTTTGTGAAGTGACATGCAATAAAACGGTTTATATTTTTTTGGAAAACGGAGTGAGATAGGAAAAAATACAAGAGGCAAAGGAGTTGTATTTTAGATGCTTAATCATACAACAAATATTAAAGTTACAAACAAGACAGTGACGTACATTGCTTATGGAAACTTTTTTCATATTTTTTAACAAGGAATCACCCTCTAAAATATCTCCGTCTATTATTCTAACACCCTGGATTACGCATACAGCTAGGGAGGAATCGCATTTGATGGAGGCATATTTGTGTACAATGTGGAGTGATCTGCATTTTTTTTTTTTGACGGAGTACAGGCGACCAATAGTGCTTCGGCGAAAGTATCTGGGCCAAACTGGAAGAAGAAATTCGTAATGTCATTGTCAGATGTACAAAATTTTATATTGTAATAGGTAACGGTTTGAGAAGGAGGATCGATTTTGTTGTATGGATACGGTAATTGACAGTTAGTCTCAACTTCTAAACACATTTGTCATGTATGAACGTCTTACAGACAAGTCTGAGTAACTACAACTTTATTTAGTCAGATGACTAACGATTTGACTAGGCATTGATAAACCATACTTGAATGTTTGCAGGGTTACTACGAGCATTGTGTTACATTGTAGGTTGGCTCTGGTTAGCTTATTACCGCAAAGGTGGGTACCGGGACATGCTGAGGTACCTGGAAACGATACGACGGACGTATTCGCGAGAGCGAGATCACAGGGCAGGCGTGATGGCCCTGTGCCAGCCTAGGTGTCCGCGCAAGGAATATTAGGAAGGAGTGAAGACCTAGACAACACTCTCTGAAATAGGGAAATATCAATAATAATAAATGTATATGAACAACCTAAGGTTGCTGGTGGGACTGTCTGGCCATAACATAACACGTTGAGGCGCCACCTTTATGTGATGGGGTGATCGAGGATTCCAAGTGTTGACGCGATGGGGGTAGAGAAGGAGTCCTCGGCGCATGGTGTCTGCGACGCAGATGCGTAGCTACCGGGGCCCCACGAGCGAGAAAAAAAAGACCGTGGAGTGTTTTTCACAATCTAACGCGTTTTTAGGTCGTGTGCTAAATTAAAAAGCTAAACCTTAGATTGTTCGACTAGGCGATAGTAGCTGGCTTCCTATTTTTAGCTCTCTAGATTATAACTGCAACAGCTGAAAGAAGCTTGTAGAAATTAGAAGTAAATAAAATATCTTTTAACTTGTATGGGGCAACCTTGGCATCATAGCATGGTTTAATAAAAACAAATCGGAAAAAATAGTGGCAAGTAGATTGACTCTTTACTTCCCAAACTTACACCTATCTTCAATTTTTTCAAGATCAGTCTGGCTAAAGAAACGAAATCTTTGGGCGGTTCCAAGGTTTTTTTGAATATGCCCTAACCGGAAGTATTTAAAACAATTTTCAAAATTAAGTAGCATTACCTACCCTCATGAATTTACGTGTTGCAGACATCGTAGAAAACTATTCATCTGCATTTCTAAAATTCTAAAATTACCAGAACCCACCCACCTCAACCCCAAAAAACTCTGCTATTCCTCGCTCTTCAAAAAGTGCTAAAGGTAGGTGCACTTTAACAGAAAGTTACCTCTTGTCGATGATCCACATCCTCTCACTGAGAAAACTTCCTGCGGGCGCCAATGGACATTAAGTGGCAATTCGTATTATTCAGTGCAAGCGTTTATTATTATTCTGTAAAAATCTATACTTCAAATCTTACCCTCCATTTGGCATTCGCCATAGTCGATCTTCCCCCTCCCCTTACAATATTGATATGGGGCCCCTCAGGAGCAAGCTACGCTACTGTTGCAAGAGACTCTCGGATACTCGCAGACTGCGATCTAGTATTTTGGATCCTCAGAATGTCAAGGGGTCGGACCTCAAGGCTATACTCAACATCGCAAGGAGAGTAAGGCTTGACATATCGAGAAGAGAGAGGCGCAAACCAGCCCCGGCTGCCTCTATTTACATTCAATTCATTTATTCCTCTTTCGATAAAGGGATGCTGTCGTTGTAAAACTACTTCATACTCCTAGTCTCATAACATGCCTGTTCTAGATGAGAACCTTTGCAATGATATGTCCACAACAGCATGCAGCACAACATACGAGATATCCACAGCTTCAATTGCTGCTACATCAGCATCCACTGTAGAAACGACGCAACCTCCTACTACAACGGAAGCAACAACAATTACAACTGTCAAAACTACCTTCAGTACAACAGTAGCAACAACAACTACACCTGTCAATGTTACCTCCAGTACTGCTTCAACTTCAACAACGGTGTTACCAAGTACGATTGGCATGAAGGAGGCAGTAGATGAGGAGAAGCAGGAGGAAGCCCGGCTTGAACCGCAGCTTTTAACGAAAGTTGTCGATGATGTTCAAGAGTTGTTAAAGATATCACAAGAAGATAGTGCTAAAGGACCAGAGTCATCGATGTGCAACGTGACAGGTAAAACATTGATACATCTTCATATTATCCTCGCCAATTAATGAAACTGCAGATGGTGGGCTAGGTGGTGTAGAGATAGATCAGAGGGACAACCACAGGACGAGTTACGGTTAAAAGATTGTTTTTTTAGATGAGACAAAATCTTTACGTCAGCGAAAAAATGAACGTCTTGTTTTTGGTATCTGATACCGTTATCCATTGGCATGCGCTGGTATATTTCAATACTCAAGTGATCCTTGCGTTCCCGGTATCGGTATAAGGCATTATCAAGAAAAGTAAAACCGCGTGGGAACGAATTGTTCTTTATTTGACAATTCTCTGACAACTTATTTGAATGATCTGTCTGCTCTAGGTATTTATCATATTTCCCATTCCAGCTTAGTCATTTTGAGTAAGTTTTTTTTATTCTTAAACCAACCAAGAAAGCCTGATGTCGAAACACCCATGGATACGTCTGCATGCGGCCAGTACACATTTTCGCACATACATGTATACTATATACAGGGTTATCCAAATTAAGTGTCCACCATTAGTAACTTTGTTATTAGTGAAAATACAAAGTTGTTTGAATTAGCAAACTAGTAGCATTTTTAACGCTGGTAAAAATGAGAAATAAAAAAAACAATTGAGAGTCGTTATTTTGATTTTTTTCAGTAAAATAACATTTTTTTAAATGGAAACCCCTGTATATTATATTTTTTTCTGTTAAAGCATCAAATTTTAAACAAAAAAGCTTACAATAACTTTTCTCCTAGGTTACAAATTGTTGAAGTTATAGCCTCCAATCTGAAACAATTAAATTGTATCGACAAACTTTATTTTCAACATCAACTTATAATCTTACAAAATACAATAACAATTTTTTTTAAAGAAGATGCTCGAAAACACCACCTTGTTCTTCAATACATTTTTGGGCACGTTTTTCAACTGCTCGAACTGTCTTAAGTATGGTCCTACCATCTATCTGGGTTATCTTTTCCCTAACTGCAGTCTTTAACGCGTCAAGGTTATCGTACCTTCGCTTGTAAATTTGGTTCTTTAAGTAACCCCACAAGAAGTAATCAAGTGGGTTTAGATCTGGTGATCTGGGAGGCCACTGTATTGGGCCATTTGTTCCTATCCACTGATCATTAAAAGTAGTACTTAGAAAATGATAAGTACCTCTGGAGTTGTGGGCAGGTGCGCCATCTTGCTGAAAATGCAGATGATGTCTACTTATAAGATCCAATTCGTCTAAGAAATTAGTCAGAATTTCTGACATAAATTCCACATATCTTTCACCAGTTAGGGTTCCCTCATAAAAGAACGGGCCAACAATTTTTGAACCAATTATACCGCACCAAACGTTGAAACTGAAACGGACTTGTGGGCCTCTTGGATGTACTAACAAAAGATTTTCTCTTGACCAATAATGGTGGTTTTTTCTATTAAACATTCCAGAATTTGAAAAATTTGATTCATCTGTCCATAAAAGGTAACGAAAGTTATTTACATTTTGGCGACAGAAGCTAAGATACCAATGGCAAAAAACAAGTCTTCTCTCTGGATCCCCTGCCAAAAGCATTTGAACTGGTCGGTACTTATACGGAATAAATTTGTATTTTTTTAAAATCCTCTGAACAGTACCATAACTGAAATTAGAGTCCTTGAGAATATCTGCTATTGAATTCTCACGATAAGCTTCAAAATATCCAATAACTGCAATTTCCGTGGCCTCGCTTATTATGAATTCTTTTTTTGCCCTTGTTTTAGCAAAAACATTTTCGTTGCCCCTAAATTTTCGATAAAGTCTCAGAAAATATCGTTCATACGGTTGAATGCGAGCGGGATATAATTCACTGTTGTATTCTCTTGCTCTCAAGGAGGATTTTCTGCACACTAAATAGCATTCTAACATATCACACTTTTCTTCATGGGAGAACATTTTTCTTTAAATTAATGACACAATAAAGCTTATAAACAAGTATTTACACTAATGTTTGACATTATTTGATTTTATCATTGTTTTCCAAAGCCTTCTAGTTGCGAGTATGTCCAGTTTAACAATTTGTCGCTTATCTTAATGCTGTCAAATCGCGAACGCCATGTTGTTTTCATAGCCGTCTTAATATTATAATACTGCAAATAATTAAAAATATTTATCGTTATTTTGACTTTATTTTTGACTTTAGCGGAAATGTCATTATGAACTTTTTTGTTTAAAATTTGATGCTTTAACAGAAAAAATATAATATACAGGGGTTTCCATTTAAAAAAATGTTATTTTACTGAAAAAATCAAAATAACGACTCTCAATTGTTTTTTTTTATTTCTTATTTTTACCAGCGTTAAAAATGCTACTAGTTTGCTAATTCAAACAACTTTGTATTTTCACTAATAACAAAGTTACTAATGGTGGACACTTAATTTGGATAACCCTGTATAGGGTGAGCGTTTAGTGGTTACTAGGCGTAGTATAAAAACAGTTTTGGTTTTTGAGTTGAGGTTAATTTTTTTTGTAAAACGAACATCAAGGCAGATGCAAAATATTACAATACACTTCAAAGTAAAAATAGCATCCAGCGAGTTACGGCAGATAGTTACAAATTTTTGTATTTTCATTAGAAATTAAACCTATCCAACTGAATGCAATAAAGTCGGAAAGGCAAGGAGGCGTCCCTTTATTTCTGTCTTTAACTCAAAAACCAGTTGTACGAACTCCCATAAGCCTTATAGCGGAAGAGAGCATGTGAAAATGGGAATCAGAAAATGTGAGAATATGCAGGATGTTGCACTTGAGATATCGTTCAATTTGTGTTCTTGACCTTGTGTAGACTAACCAATAGATTGTTAAATATCTTAACAATTTGAAATCACAACCCTATAGTATGTTATATAATATTGCTTCGTTTGGAAGGGCCTATCCGAGTCTGCTTTCTATCTAAAAGGATGCATGTTTGAGTCACAACGTAATTATGAATCATATTGTAGAAATAAAAATATTTTCCAAGGTTGACTACAATTTTTGTGATTAACTTCTTTAGATAATATGCTTAACAACGGAGTCATCTTCCGAGTCCACACTAAAAACTCACTGTACTTTAATAAAAAAGTTGAAAATGAAATGTCCAATAATTATATACATGAGATGATCACGCAAAATATATAAAATAATGTAAAAACTGAACGCACATAATATATAATGATTTATTACATGTAAGACCAGCTTATAAATCAATAAAAGTACATATTTGTCTAATTGTGCTATGATATGGGACACATAAACCAAATGCATTCCATGTGTGGTAATGCATGATTTTGTCATTATTTTGCGTAAATTCCTTTCTATGCCTAAAAGCCTAGAGGGCACTTAAATATGTATGAGTATCTTCTGTTGAAGTTGAAGATCAACCGCATAGCATTTAATAGAACTTAATATTTTCAGATGTCTGCAATACAGAAATTCATCTATTGATTGGTTCTAGCACGCTCAGTTAGTTTGGGGGTCTAACAAATTAATTTGTGACACTGATAGTTTACTGTATATCCAGGTGATTGGGATAGCAACGCTGGAGGCATGCAGTTGCGCTTAGATTCTAAAACAAATGGTACCCACGAAAATCCAAGTGTTGAACTTGTGGACTTGGAGCCTCCACCCAGGAATCCGGGATTTCTAAGTCATGATTGGACTATGAAGGCTCATGTACCTTTCCTTCATTCTTCAGTTGTCTTGTTAACTGCATATCATAACTACATGAAGAAGATTGCAGTATTTATAGGTATTAATTAAGAAAATGTGTTATTAATTCAGTCATTCTGCAAGCCGACATGAAAAAAATGTGTTTTTCTACAATCTATAGCTGCGTACCGACAACAATGACATGGTCATACGATTTCATGTAAAAGTCCTACACCTCAAATAGTTGTGGAATTTTTCCTGATTGCGCATTCCTATGTTTAGGAGAATGCAGAGTATGTGAGAATCAAGAAAGCATAACCGGAAGTTGGATGGTAGGAAGAAAATCGCGAAGCTGTAAGGACCGAGAAGAAACTCATCAATTTTTTACAGACGTGTTAAGAAAAAATAATGTTAGAGAACTACAAGCTGCTCATTACAGGCTTGGCGTTGCTGCCTCAAATACAACTAGTCTACCTACTTGAATCATATCTCGTGTATTGGTGAACCTTACATTCCGTTTGCTTTTATATAAGTGTAAGTCTACGAGAAAACGGTAGGTCTCAGCTTTCGATCAAACCGCATAGGATGGAATGGCATACGGACATACTGTTGTTAGAGTATATGATAAATAAAAGATGCTAATAACTATATTTGTATGTTCAAAATCTAACACTACTATTCAGAAGTTCAACTTCGGCTATTGATTACAAAGATTTCCTTGATAGCAAGGACTAAGTACAACCCCAAGAGCTGTCAACATTTTCTCCCATGACTTTTGATGTTCGGCGTAGGAAGCACTCTAGAATGAATTTGCTTTGCTTCAAACTACAACACTGCCAAGAAAGACCTTGTCTATGTGCACTTGAAATGAAATACTTCTCAACTTCAACCTTTTTGTTCTCTCGAAACTATAAAAGATCTCATATAGCCAAGAAAAATAACAAAGTGTTTGTGGCAAATTGTAAGTGGACAAAATATTTGATGAAAATGTGTGTCTACGAGAATAGAGGTCCTGCAAGGCGAAACATGTTTAGCTTAAATTTTTTATTTGCGAAAAATAGGGTAAAAATATTTTTTTATTTTTTTCATCAAATTATTTTATTGCTAAGGGAATAAACCTTGGACCCTTTTTTAGCCCTAAAACACTCACACATTTAATTTTTGAACACCAAAATCGGATACAAATTTTTCGAATTGTTCCAATAGAACTACTAAAAAACTGACAGTCTACTATTTACCTTGATCATCTCTATTCACACGACACTGATCTCTAACCCTGTGACGAATTTGTGCTCTGACACGTTAAAGAAGCACAATAAAGTCCTAATCAAAATATATTGTATTTTGAAAAAAAAATGTTTTTTATGAAAATCTAGTCTACAGCTCAGGCAAGTGATCCGATTGTCGGCTGGTGCTTATTTTGTATGGTTCTTGTCACTGTTTTTGGCGGTTCAAAGTAAAACTACAGGAACTGCATTCATACATCCATCTCTCTCATACATACACATGCAACCTACCCCTGTGTGTGAACGTTTGTACGGTAAGCTCAAAGACATAAGTTTTTTAGTTGTGTGTCTCCGTGCGTATGAGCGCCCTTCAATCACATTTATCAGAGTGACAACTTACTTGACATCGGCGTGCAATTTCAGTTCTGTTACCAATCTTCAATATAAAACTGTACAATGCCCGGAAATACGATCAATCGAGAAGGGCGACAGCTCGTCCTAAATTTATAAAAGTATTTCCAGGAAGAGAATGAAAGCAGCTGTCCGCTGTAACCCACTTCATGCGTACTGGAGAGAGTAGCAGATGCGCTGAATATTAGTCTGCGCCCATGGTAAGGAGACTCGATCCGTTTACTTATTTCATATGGCGTCGATGACGTAATCCTCAAAAACGATGACTACAATGATACCCAACTAACAATTATCACTCGTATTAGAGTTGCAAGAAGATTATACAGTATTCCTTACATAGCATTCTATACTGTAAGAACATTGGCAAAACCCTCTTAAAACAGCTATACAAGCGGAATAGGCACACCTAATAGGACACTTCAGTCATTTAAGAGGTTGTATAAGGGCTGCAGGTAACAGTCATACAACAAAAGTGTAAGCCTGTTGCAGCCGCTATAGGACATTGCGTCAGAGCAAGATTCAGTTTTTGTTAACTATACAACTATTCTGTTACGCGATTCTACTTTATTGCCACCAAACTATTTGTTATGTATAGTATAGACGAAGTGAAGAATATATAACTAACGCATTACAGTCATCTTGTTTACCTACATATCGGCCATTGTGAATTTCATACACAGGTATATGACAAACTTCTACACTGTGATATAGGGCTATTGAATTACTTGCGCAGCAAATTTTATTGTGATTATCGTGCAAAGTAGTTACGCAATTTCTACGGGCTTCGTATTTGATTCATATTTTAATAATGATCAAAAATATGTCTAGCTTTTTAAGATGGAAAACTGAACTTATCTGCGTTAAATCTTCCACAAATCCTATATTTAGACACAATTACACTAATATTTATCACTTTATCTCTGTAATTTCGAACTGAAACATAATTATTTAATATTAAATAGAGGAATAAATGTTTGCCCAATATCGCGGGTGGCTGTGTATAATCATGTCATCGTCCATGTTGTCTTTGGTTTATTAGAATACTTTGGCGTTGCCTGCAGGGTTATACAACAATTTGACAAATGTCTGAAATGTAATACCGACAGAGTCGAATGATCTACCCAGAATTTGTACCAGACCTATATCTTCTGTTTGAACAGTTGATAAAATCTTTTGAAGCAATATGCATGCGTTGTTTGTCTTAAAACATTGGTTATGGCATTTTAACAAAAATATGACAGCAGAAAGTTAGGTTATGGTGAAGTTGTATACCAACATATTTAGCAACAAATGTATGCCGAGCACAGCAATTTTGTACTACAAAAGATGTATTATTGTTGGATATGTACGTTACAACCTTTAACCACCAATCAACAGTTGTATAAGTGCTTCCGTCGGGAGTAATTTGTTGGCTAAAGTAGTAAATTTGCACAGCAAAACAACAATGCTCGGGTTTGTTTTATAAACGTTACCATGGATGCCACAATACAACCATTTTGACTAACGTGCAAATATGTATAAAATAGTTGTACAAACGTTTATGCAACAGTTAAAAATTTTTCCTATAAGGTGTTGTATAGCTATGCTATAAGAATACTTTAAACACATCATTTTAGAGCAAATATGTGGCAGAAAGCAAATTTGTATTCCACACAACATTAAGCCAGCATTTTGGTGTTCAGGCAACAACAACAGAGAGTTTTTATGGCTGAACGGTTCTTTTACCAAAAGCTTATAGTACTACTTTGGTAGTTGGAGTTGTACGATAGTACAGACAGAATTGTCTTTCTGTGTTTTGAAAGCATATGTAAAATCATTTCTAAATGTAAGTTGCCAGAAATTTACAATGCAATGAAAATAAATGCATTGATTGGCCAGTCTTTTTCTTCAATTATTATTATTGTTATTAAAAGGAGCCATTCTATAGCTTATTTGGCAACGGTCAATTATATATAGTAAAACGTAGGGTATGCTCCAAAAAATGAACTCTTGGTGAAGCATCGAGCAAAATATGTTGGAACCTTCAGCGTAAGGACAACGGTTATTACAGAACAGCTTCAACCTTGTCTTGAAGATGCTGGCATAGCATGGCACGAGTCGGGTATTAAACTTTTGACGAGTAGTAAAGCTCTACGAGTATAGTAGTTATTATAGACTAGAGACCCGAAAGCGCCAGCGTCTTGGCTCGTTTATGTACGCGACATTTGCCGCACGACGACGTCATACAACAAGGTACTGCGACAAAAATTGTGTGCATAAATGAGCTCTTAGAGGAATAAATTTCATTGGTAGTAAACAATCTGATGAGTCCTTGGCATTTTGAAATCACACAAGTCTGAATGACCAAGTTCTAGACCGAGGTCATTAATGCTGGCCAGTTTAAGCATGATGAGTGACTATCTACAAATAACTCATTATCCGTATTAGGTATTTATTCAAGTCTCTTATCTGTACCAGCGATATTTGCCCAACACAAACAAATACTACAGTCTGCCATCTATGAGGCGTTTTCCAGATTTTTAAGGCAAGGCAAGCCATCATCGGTCAACCACCCCTCTGTATTACTAATGTAGGATATCCTTTAACAGGGCGGGCCCTTCCAGGAAACGCACTACACGAGCTTTGTTTTAGACCTGTTCGTCACGGATTTATTCTTCTCCATTTACATATGCATTCGTTCAAAATCTGGCAGTTCCTAGAATAGTTGGAACGTGTTGAAAGAAGATACATCATGCCCTTTTCACTCGTTTCTGCTCATAAAATTTTAAAGAGCGCTAAGAGATACACTCTAAATGTGTAGTGTGATATTCTAAGAAACATCGTACCATCAAACTTTCTTTTGGCAATCATTGCCGGGAAATTGAGATGTTAATGTGATATTGGTGAAAAATATTTTGTGGACGAAAAATTTGAGGCAATTATCTCCCTGCGCGTTCCATCTCAAAAATAATGTCATTAGCATTGTCATCTACATCAATTTAATGGAGTTAGAGTTGCGATACATCGACGAATTCGTAAGTGATAATTGACATATTGCCTACCGTGTATTTCAAAATTTTAGTCGTGGAGGCGAATTTATTGGCAAAAATTAAAAAAATAGAACATCAAATTACATCAAACCATGTTACATCACTTGAGTTAACTAACCTCAACCCAATTTAACCAAGAATTCGAATAGATTGGAAGGAACCAAAGCCTAAATCTTTATATTACATGGTTTTTCGCCAAAATTGTGTAGTTTTAGTGCATACCTTTGGCTAATTTGACTACCATGGGCTACCAAAGTGACAAACCAATACATCGGTATACACTCCACTGGAAACGATATTCAATTAGTGATGCGTACTGGGTTAACTCACGTTGAGCAAGGCAAAAATACCATGCGATTGGATTTGCTCAACTATTGTTAAATAGAGACAAATTAAATAAGGCAAATAAGCGAAAGTAATTATTTATTGACGGCATAGCATATAAATAATTCTGGCTGATTGGTGATTTTGAAAGGCAAACAATACGAAACATCATACAGCAACAATGGCGGAATACGAGTACCTGATAATGGAAATAGCGGGACACCTTGCTTGGATTCCACTCAGTTTTTCTAAATAGTTGTGATCAGCATGAGTATTACGTGTCTTAAAAGGTGACATTTTGTCGTTTTTTGACATTTTGTTGGTTTTTGTGACATAACGTAAGTTTTTCTACAAGACGTTAACACCAGATGTCGTACACTTGTGAACTCGTTTTGTAGCTGTTCGTGTTGCCTAAACGTCATGAGGCTTCAGCTATTAATGTTTGGTTCTGATGTAATATCTGCTTCAGAGATGGTATTATTGGAGATCTGAGCTGTAAGTTGTATACTAAAGCTGGAAGGAAACGGCAGTGCATAGTGAGGATTTATGTGTAATAATCTGTGTTGATGATAATTCCATTAGTTTCTTGCCTCAAATACACTTACTTTAGGTTTATTCAAAGCTATAAATTAGCTTCTCATCCACTTTTTCTTATTTATT